CAGTGCTGCCTCTGGATGGGCGACCACTAAAGGAGCTCATTGACAGTTTAGGACTTCTTCTAGACCAGTATTTCTCAAAGTTGGCAAGACATGTGGACCTCAATGCCTAGAATTTATACTGGTAGAAGGATTCTGGGAGTTGAAGTCCACGTGTCTTAAAGTTGCCAAGTTTGAGAAACAGTGCTCTAGACTTCATGATGCCTACTGTTGTGGTTCGCTGGCAGCAGGTGCGGACGGCAGAGGTCTCTGATAGCGAGGACTCGGACGAGGGGCCTGTGTGTGGTGCAGGGATGGGGCCAGGACTATCAGAGAGTGGGGTGCTGCCTTCAGAGCTTGTGGAATCTGGCAGCAGTGACGCAGAGGACCCCAGGGAGCCTGTGCCCAGTGTGCATGCGCGCAGGGCTGCTTGAAGGAAAGAGCAGCTGAAGCAGCAAGGGCAACTCGGGAGAAAGGCTGGAAGGTAATGGCCTCTCCCATAAGGAATAAAAACCAGCCCTCGGGGATATGTTCTTTGCAGGAAGCAAAAAAGTTCTTTAGACTCATAGTCCTCATTGAAGCCCTGCTTACTCCAGTTTGTTTTTGAAACTTCTGTCAGTGGATATTTAATCAGTAATTAGTCTTCTGTTCTTGGCAGCCTTTTGCAACCTTGAAAGGGCTTGCTTTTGATATCGGAAATGTTTCTTGGCTGGGAAAGCACTGAATTCCCAACGCCGCATTAAAAAAAGGTTTGCTTTTACACACAGTTTGTGTTTATTTAATTGGAACAAGGCTTGGGTCAGAACATCTACTAGAAGAGCAGTGGAGACCATCAGAAGTAGCAGCACTATTGATCTGGAATAGCCTGCCCTTGGAGATCAAATTCACCCCTCTCTGCTGACTTTCAGGAAATTGTTGAAACCTGAATTATTATGGAGGGCATTCTCTTGATTTAATATGGTGCATCCTTCATTTTTTAGTTTTGTCATTTCTGTTTTCACTGAGGTCTTATATTGTATAGAGTAGAGTTTATGATGGATGTAGTAATTTCTGTGGTACTTTACTCCCTGTAAACCAGTGAGTTGTTTGATTGCTGCAGGCTACAAACTCCAGAAACAAATAAATGGTTCAAATTCTCTTCCTCACCCAAAGTACTTCAGCAAATGTGCCATCATTTACACTGTGAGCAGCAAAAGTAGTGCTAGGATTTGGAAAACACAATGGTTCTATTTTAAATGGTTATGTGCTTAACAATGTGCAGACCTTAACATCTTTCATCATGTCCGTAATCTTCCCTGGTATTTATGTGAAGTGACTGCTTGGGCATGCTGATAACATCTGAAATGGAGGCCAGTGAAGCAGTGGTCAAAATATGTCAAGAAAAACACATTGCTGAATATGAAACCAAAGATACTGTTCTATTGCTGCACATGCTGCTCTATTGAACTATTAACTGGATCCACTAACATCTGCATGCTCTAACACCTCACCCCCATCAAGCATCCATGGAACTTGGAAATGGGGGGGAATGACTGTAAAATCCTGTTAACCGAACAAAAGTCTGATTGGATAATACTGAACATATTGTTCTTTCAGAGAATATAAATGTAGAAAGGAACCTAATGTTTTGCCTTTTCTGGATTTAAGAAATAGGCCCCGTTGCATTATGGAGGCATCTTGAACATACCTGGACCATCTTCTTGTCATTCCCAGCCTAAGTATAAATAAATAAATGACATTTTGAGTTTTAAGAAAGTCTTGCCATCACCATCCCTGAATGTACAAAAAAAACTAAAAACCCCAACCAAATGAACTATTAGAGATTTTTCAAAAAGGGGAAGGTAGTTGGGGGGAAAAAGATTGCTGTTCATAAAATAGGAATTCATCCTAAATTTTGCTGAGGTAAACACCATTTTTCAAATCACTTCTCACTCCATTACATGTGAGTCGGTTGAATCCAAATGTGTTTTTTAATCCAGTGTTAATATCTAAAGTAGGGGGAAAATGACCTCGGCATCAGTGGTGGGATTCACATTTTTCTACTACCGGTTCTATGGGTATGGCTTGGTGGGCATGGCAGGGGAAGGATACTATAAAATCTCCAGTCAGAGGTGGCATTTACTGGTTCTCCAAACTACTCAAAATTTCCACTACCGGTTCTCCAGAACTGGTCAGAACCTGCTGAATACCACCTCTGCTTGGCATGCCATCTTTTATTTTATGCTTCTGATCTCTCTATATGTTATTTGTCATTTATTTCAACTATAGGTTGCTGTTTTATGCACTGATTCCAAAGGGTGGGAAACCTTTTATTTCAGTATTTCCATGTGTAATCCATTTGCTCTGCAAAAGAAAGCAAGGATTGCTCTAAGACTGCCAACAGAGGGGAGATCTACAGCACGGGTCTCCGATCTTGGCAACTTTAAGACCTGAGGACTTCAATTCCTAGAACTTCTCAGCCAGCAAAGCTGGCTGAAGAATTCTGGGAGTTGAAGTCCATAGGCCTTAAAGTTGTCAAGGTTGGAGACCCCTGATCTATAGCACTGCTTCTCAACCTTGGCAGCTTTAACATATGTAAATGTAAATGTCAATTTCCAATTATGCCAGCTGAGGAATTCTGGGAGTTGAAGTTTACACATTTTAAAGTCATTAAGATTGAGAAATGTTGGTCTAACTCTAGAGAATATTTTTACAAATGGAAAGCACTTAAATAAGATATCCATCGCTATCCCCATCCTGCTGTTGCAACTGGCTAAAGGACCAGAAATGTGCAAGAGATCTTTTCCAAGGCGCAGTCATAGGCAGAGTGAGAAGATGGGTAAAAGACACTTTTTCATTTTTTCTTGGATTCAGTTATGAGCTTTATCATGGCTTGTTAACAGTATTGCAAAGTGAACAATGCTCTTCAGTCAAAAACTTTCATTCTGAGAGTCATTAATGAGCTTTGTGATTGGAGTAGCCCCAAAAGGTAGTTTGGATAGGGGGACGAGCTAATAAGAATGGAGATTCATTTTTCTTCTGTTATCATAGTCCCCTTTTCCTGAGACTAGAAATGTGGGGTAGCAATTAGGGTGCACTGATTTCCCTTAAGAAAACCCATGGCTCTGGAGTTTCTCTCAAATCTATTGGAGAGCATTGTCCTTTAGTGAACCATCATATACATGATTTATCAAAGTCATGCTGTCACCCTCCTCTGTACACGCTCCGAAGAAACTGAACCATGAATAAGTAGTATTACCTCTGAATGACTCTCTGCTTAGATGTAGGATGAGGGCACATGGTAGTAGCATGTCTGCAATATCAACTTTCCACCTAAGACATTCTTTGGCTCTGATGAAAGAGTCCTCTGAATTTGTCGACTGTTGATGGCTGTAGACCAGCTTTGAAGTGACAGGGAGAGACAGAGATGGCAGACAAGAGATCCCAACCACAAGGCCTTCCGACTGAGTGATGTTTTAATGAGTCTGGGAGATGGAGGACAGTGAATGGAGCTTCATGTCTTGGCAGTGATTGACAGGCTTGTTCTCAGATTGAAAGTGACCATGGATCATGTTTTGGTCTCCTGTCATTAGAATCATAAATACTGGAGCAGGAGAAATGCATTAGGTGTTATCTTTTCTTAGACCCCACCAGTGTGATTCACTGCAGTCACAGAGTTTGGATCTATTACTTTAACAGTGTTTTGCTTTATGATAGGAATATTTTCCCTTTGCATTCTTACACACACACACACCTTTTTTCAGATTTCTCAAAATCATCCTTACTGTTACTGTTGGCAATGAGATGGTGTCATTTAGGCCAGCTTGGTGGGGTTTGGGAGGAGGCGGAAAGTGGAAATGTGAGTTCTGCATTCTTCTTTAATCAAGTGAATATAATAGAACAAAGAATCAGCATCTGAATATTCATATTTTTTGGCCAGCTGACTAGCTAGCTAAATGAAATGGAGTCTCATATTTTTTAAAAAAAACAATAGCAAGAATAGCAATACACAGCTGTTAATAATTTCTGAAAACTGAAACACAAGGAGATTACAACGGTTTATTAGATGGGGAAAAAGAATTAAGAATGTTTTTAAAAACTGAACTATATGACTCAATTGGATTACTGCAGCAACAGTTAATTTGATACAAAATCAGTATCGAAAACATTTGTCTGGAGAAATCCTGTCAGTACTAAGTACAGACCTAACTTGTCCCCAAACTAATCCTACCTAATTGCATTTCAATGAGGACAAAGGCGTAGCCATGCTACGTTTCCGCAGATTAACAGGTATTTTTTTCAGGTTTGAGAATTAATAGTGACAAGTATATCTATATCAGACATACTCTGTGATATTGTCTTCTGCATGTTTACTATTATATCCTGTTGCATTTTCAGTGTAAAATACTTATTCCTATTATGCTTCCAATGAAGAGCTGCAGGGGTGGGATTCTACAGATTCGCACCTATTCGCTAGAACTGGTTGTTAACATTCTAAGCAGTTCGGAGAACCGGTTGTTAGAAGAAATTACTGGCCTAATCCTGTAAGGAAGGCAGGAAGGAAACATTCTGGTGTTGCTTACAGAAACTGCCTCTCCATTAACCCTTATTAACATTCTTGGCAGGACTAGACTTCCTGTCTCAGGAATATCTTTGGAGTTTTTTTCCCCTCCTTTGCTGGTACTTTGCTTGTGTGGAGTCACCATTTAAAGTTACAATGGCACTGAAAAAAGTGACTTATGACCATTTTTCATGCTTACGACTGTTGCAGCATCTCCACAGTCATGAGAGGCCAGGCAAGGAGATGCGTGTCTCGATCTGAGTGATATTGAGTTGGCCACACCCACCTACTAAGCCATGCCCACAGAACTGGTTGTTAAAAAATTTGAATCCCACCCCTGAAGAGCTGGTATCAGATGTAGCAGTGTCTGGGTTTTATCTGTTGGCTATAAAAAAGGAAGTGCAATTTTAAGGCTACTCTCGAGTTGAAAAGCAGTTTTTGAATAAACTGTCTCCTCCCCTCCCCCCCTTTTTTTTAAATAGATATGATGACTCAGCGGAAATATAAAATTTCTTTTGGCCTTCTCTTCCATTTGGCCTGCTCCTTTGTGTATGGCTTCCCTGCTGATTCTGGGACTGAATTCCGGTCTGCCTTCTCTGTCGCCAGGACCAGCAGCATGGAAGGAAGTACTGAGATGGTGATCACCTTTGATAAGGTCTATGTAAACATAGGGGAGGACTTTGACCCCAAAGCTGGACTATTTCGATGTCGCATCCCTGGAGCTTACTATTTCTCCTTCACTGTCGGAAAGTACCCCAAGAAAAATTTATCCGTCATGCTAATGAGAAACAAGAATGAAGTGCAGGCAATTGTATATGATGAACATCACCGTAAAGAGCGAAAAGTGGCCAGCCAAAGTGCCATGCTACAATTAGACTACGGTGATACCGTGTGGCTACGTCTACATGGGGATCCAAAGTATGCCCTGTATAGCAATGTGGGCCCCTATACAACTTTCAATGGGTACCTCATTTATCCAGACACCTCTAGCTACTTCCAAAATAGAGTAGGCTCTCCAGAACTAGGGAAAGAACCTTCTCAACCTCCCTCTCATGTCATTCAGCAGCTTTCCATCAACCAAAACCAAGTCTCAGAAAGACTCCTGCTTTCCGATGAACCAGCTAGACCACAGGATCCTCGCTCTGCCTTTTCAGCTGCCCGTTCCGAAAGCCTCCTAGGATCGGATGAAAAGCAAACCCAGCACGAGCCCATCACATTTGACACCGAGTTTGTGAACATTGGGAATGACTTCAATTTTTCAACTGGCATCTTTGCATGTCGTGTTCCAGGCGCCTACTATTTTTCATTCACCATTGGCAAAATGCCTTTCAAAACAATGTCAGTAAAGCTGATGAAGAACCACAATGAAGTTCAGGCCATGATCTATGATGATAACCACTCCAAAAGGAGGGAGATGCAGAGCCAGAGCATTATGCTTCCTCTGCAATCTGGTGACATTGTCTGGCTCTACAGTCACCAGCATGATGGCTACGGTGCTTACAGCAATCATGGCAAATACATAACCTTCACTGGCTTCCTTGTCTATCCAGAGACTAAGACAAAATTCTCTTTAGATTCCAACATTGCTCCAGGGTCAAACCTCTAAATGTGCATATACAACACAAGAAGCATAGGAGCAATCTAGATGCATCAGACTCTTGTGCAGGTCCTGGACAAACATCACTCTTCATATGAGAAGATATAAGCATGCTATTACATGTCCAGTGTATCCCTAATGGACACTTTCCTTGTGTTTTCTGCCTGCAGAGCCATTGTTGTTTGTCTCATTCATTCCTTGAATGACATTCACAAGTTGGTGTGTTTTATTCATTACTGTTAGACATAAGACTAAAGCATGAGTCAATTTGGGGAGTAAAGGAATAGGGGGAGATAAATGAGATATGCAAACAAGGACATTTGAAAAATGCCAGAAAGGGGTTACATGGTAAAAAGCTCCCTCTTGCAGAACGTTTGAGAATTAATAACATTCTGTTGGCAAACATCACAAGAGAGGGACAGATATAATGGAACAACAAATAAAGCCCGAAACTAAAAGGATTGTGTGTATTTGTACATTTGATGTCACGATATTCAAACCTTTCCATTCATGAAAAAAAAGATCCCAAGTTTTAAATGTGTAGTATGTTTGTCGTGTATTTCCAATAATTGAAGAATCATTTGATGTTTGATAAATTAAAAAGTACTGGATATTTTAAACAAATTTGAGTACTGTCAAATCCTTGTCAAAACTATTTCAGGGAATCTAATTTTATCCACAAAACTGTTCATCTTTTAGTATTAAAAGGAACTATTATCTTGTAGGCTTCTGTAAATTTTCTTCTCCATCTAATGCAGAAATACAGCAGACCCAAAACAGATTTTTAAAAATCCAAGAATAACTCTTAACTTAACTAGATCACTGATTAAAACTGATTCCACCTGATAAATCAGCTATAGATATTTATAAATGATCGACCTATCAGTTAAAGTACCTCACGTGTGTTGGCATGTTGGATTATCACAAAAGCAGAGAATTTATGTCCCCAAAGGAAAATATATATGCATTTTATATGATGGTTTGCAATGGCAGAAGTACAACAGCTGTAACAAATGAAAAGGATCAGTTTGTAGAGTTCTTCTACGGTACTTTCCTTTTTTAAAAAGTTAAAAGATAAGCCAAGGATTTAGTTGCTAGAACATTTCTATATTTTATTTTGCCCACAAAGAAATTGTTTTGGGGAAAAGGGTAGAACTGGAGACTCCAGGCATAACCACCTGTTTCAACCAGTTTTGGTTGCTAACTTGTCTATTGCACTATTGAGCAATCATGTTAAGGTGGCATTATAAAATATTTCTTAGTTATGATCATACAGTCATGAGTTTGTAAATTTATATTTTAAAATATCATTTAGCCTTCAGAGTTTCCAGTTTCCAGGGTGAACATATGTAATGTCCTCACCTTATTTATTGTATATGTAAAACTTGTTATTTATCATTTACAAATAGGATATTCAGCATTTTATATTGCCTGATGAAACACCCTCCAACACTTTCTTTCAAATGTTCTGGATACTCTCTGTTCCCTTTGTATACAGATCCTGTGTTTGTAATTGTAAGGTTCTCCGCCATTGCAACAATATAACAGACAGAACATGAAGAAATGTTGTTGCTTAAGCACTGCTTTCTCAAAATTATCCTGCTAAGCAGATAATTACTCTTAAAATGACAAGATCTTCCTTTTAACATGCAACTGCTTTCTTATCATTTATGCTACATGAGAAGATATTTTTTGTTCTCTAACAGTAGTTAGCCTGGGGAAACATATAGTCCTATTTTCACTGAAACCTAATCCCAGTCGACAGCAGAGGTCTCTCCAGTGAGAAAAGTAATCTCTGAATGGGACACTCTAGAGCAGGGGTGTCAAACTCGATTGCATTGAGGGCCACATCAGGGTTGTGTTTGACCTTGGGAGGGGCTGGGGGGCAGCTCGATGGCACTCGTGTCAGGGGCACCTGTGGTGGCCTGAGTGTTCTCCCAGTGAAAACGAGCTCCCAAGCTCCATTTTCAGCTGCAACGGCTTCCTGCAACCCTCTGCCACCAAAAACGGAGCTTGGGAGAGCCACCTGCGACCCTCCTGAGCTCTGTTTTCACTGGCAGAGGCACCACGGGCCGGTCCTTTGCTGTTTCCAGGGCAACCCCATGGGCCAGATCTAAGCACCCCACAGGCTGGATCTGGGCCACAGGCCTTGAGTTTGACACCCCTGCTCTAGAGAGAGAAGGAAAGCAGTGTCCAAGCTCCAGGACCAGCCTTTTCTAATGTGGTGTTCTCCATATGTGTCAGGACTACAAGCCCCAGAATTCTTTGTCAGACTAGTCATGTCTGGGTGTTGTAAATTAGAGTACATTTCAAGGTCATTGGGAAAGGCTCTCCTAAATCAGATTACACTAAAGACTTTGACTGTCTACTAAACTTGGGAAAATGAAGCAGGAAGATTGCTACTTTGGTCCAGGCAGAGCCTCAGATAATGTTACAGAGATCAAAGAACTTCAAACATATTTTAGTTTGCATATTATGGGGTGAAAGACAACTCAGGTTTTGCCCTTTACACAGGAAAATCAGTTTCCTTGAGTCATAACAAAGCTAGGCTGATAGAATTTCTTCAATGCGCTAACATAGGAAGGCATTTCCTGCCAAGGCCTGGAGGCTAAATGTTGAACAGAATCAGTCAGTTCCTCAGGACAGAATTGTTTGCAGAGCTCCCGGAGGATTTCATTGACCAGCTGAGAGAAAAGGTTGATCCACAGATTTTTATCCAGGCCTTGGACAAGGCGAATCTGGTAAGCAGTAAAGATAGTAGTGAAAACCAGCTGTTCAAATTCCTCTGGAGTGATAGGGGTGTCAGACTGAGAGAAGTGATCCAGGTATTCTTCAATTCCTGATGGGTTTTTGGGAACTTTATGCTGGAAGATCCAGAGTAAGCGCTTTGCAGGACGCAGAGTGGCCAGTTCTTCATCTTCTACCTTGATGGTCTCATTTGCCATAATTTCAATTCCTCCCCAAAGTAACTGAAAAAAAGAAAGTATGAGGGAGCAGTGGAATTTTTTTCCGAGTCTCTAAATTTGGGCTTGGGTGATTATTCAGTGCTGAACAATGATCTAACTAACTTACAGCCTGTATTCAAATACAGTATCACACTGAACAAAACCACGCTAAGTGAAGCTCATTGTTCTGAAGTATGAAAATTGCTAACAGGATTAGGCAATGCTGAAACCAATGTGGTCAAAGCTGAATACTTATTTGCCTGTTAAATCTTTTAAAGACATATACAAAATATGTTTATGTATCAAATTCCATCATTTACAGTAATGATCAAAATATCATGGCAATGACAGAGAGATAGACAGCATATAATTTAATAAATAAAAATAGATTTTTTTAAAAAAGCTATGGAAAGACCAAGATCCTTTCAGAGTCTTCCCTTTCAGAAACAAGCTGAGAGGTGCAGTATTAACTTCAGGGTGCCATCTTGTGGCTCTGTGCTAAGAGTGCCACAGGTCCCAGCCATAAAAGTTAATTTCACTAGTCCTTAAGCTGGGAGAACAAGTTAACAAAAGAGATGGGTGGGATTTTCTTACCTTTGTTTCCCTTCATACCAGGCATTACCTCAGCAAACATGGCAGCAAAAGCAAGCACTGGCCACTCTCCTTAAGGTGGAATGAGTGGGGGAGGAACGTATTGTGATGCTTTGAATGAGGGATGGGGTGTCGAGGTTTTAGCCACCTGCCAACCTATCTAACAGCTCAAAAGTCCGTGATCTGCCAATTGCACTATTTATGAACCTGGATCTATAATGTGGATGTGAAGCAGCAGAGACCCCTGCCCCTAGTTTTGGCAGCTATCCCATCTGAAACTTAGGTGCCTTAATTAAAATAACAATTAACTTGAGATCCCTAGCTATACAAAGCTTCAATAAGCCCAGTGCTGTGAAGCAAAATGATTTCTGTTAAAGAACAACAGCCCTATCACATTCTGCAGAACCAGAAAATGAGGAAGAATCATTTGAATAGCAATATAAATTTGATAATAGTAGCAGTGATAGCAGCATACAATTTGGAGGCAAAAATCCACAACACTTAATAGAGAATTATGAGATCCCACAAGCAACTAGAATAATCCCACATCAAAGAACTGTACTAGATTTCCTCATTTTTCTACTAAAGAGATGGATTCTGCCTATGTTACCTCTAATATGATCTCAGCATTCTCTTGGATATCTTTATCTGTACGGTTCCTAAGGTGAAATTGCTCATCTAGAAAATAGGAATAAAAATACATTTTGATTACAGGGATTAAGAAATAATATCCTAGTTTGACCAATTTCCTTCACGTCTGCAGTGATTTCTGATTTGCTTTTATTATTTGAGGATTTAAATAAAACAAAGTGAGACAAGCTCTAATAAAAAGTTAAAGCAATGTTATATTGTAATTCACCAAGGTTCCGAATCACTCCTATTCACAGCTAGTTACCTAATGGGAACATACAAAGAAGTATTAGCACTTAAGTTGGGAGTGACATCACAAAAGTATGGCTGACAATTGTTTTATCTGATGCTTTGATGCAATCATTACAATCCTTAGAGCAGAGATCTCCAAACTTGGCAACTTTGACTTGTGGGCTTCAACTCTCAGAGTTGGCTAGAAAATTCTGGGAATTGAAGTCCACAAGTCTTAAAGTTGCCAAATTTGGGGACCACTGCCCTAGAGCTCTGGGATTGCCTGGTTTAAGCAAAATATAGATAAGATAATTGGAATCTAAGCAGCCCTAACAAAGGCAAAGGCTTGTTATCTCTACTGCCCTGTCCATCACTAGAATAGATATGAAATAGAAATGTTTTTGAGACAACATTGCCTCTATGAATTCCCCACTCACGTCACAATGGTCAATAGTTACTTTACAATTAGGAGTTTAAAGTGCAGAGTTAACTGCACAACTGCTGATGGAGCAAAATTATTTCTCACATTCATATAGAAAAATACTGTATGGTTATCTAGATTTTATTCTCAATTCATTAACTTCAGGAATGGTATTTGATAACTAAAGTATTCAATTTTGTTTGAAGAAATCTATGCTTCCGGGGAGAGTTACAAGCTCTTTGATCATAGACAGATGTTTATAATGTTCAATGACATTTGGTTTGGAGGGCCATTTATTTTTTTCTAATACATAACTTTTGAGGCTCAAAGGCTGTGTTTTCTATATTCTAGTAAAATGACAGTGGATAATTCTATATGAATACAGATTAAGTCTGGATAGCTAGCATCTCAGGCTGGCCGGCATGACTTTTAAAAAGAAAGTTGTCCCTGGAAAGTATTTCTTTGCCTCTAAGAGTCAAATAACATGTTTTAACAGATTTAACAGATAATCAGAGTTGGAAGGGACCTTGTAGGTCATCTAGTCCAACCCCCCACCCAAGCGGGAGACCCTACACCATTTCTGACAAACGTTAAAGTTCCTGAAATTCAAAATGACTAATTTTTAGTTTCTTACATTGTCCTTCTCATCTGTCCTAGATATAACTGTTTCATATTCCATAACCCATTTATAATGAAATCATACTCTGTATAATCATTCAGCATTCTTTATTTTTGAAAAGGAAGCGAACCGCAATTCAGGTGTGATTTTAAAAAGAGAGCAGCAGCCAAACAAAAACTATTTGTAGTTATACATTGAAATAGATCATTCTAATGGATTTTGTTTTATAATGTACCCTGCCCAGAAACTTTTGTTGTGATGGGTGGGTGTAGAAATCAAACAAATAAATATTCCCAGTTTGTAAGAATTTTTTCTTTCAAGGGAAATCTGTCCATGTCTATTCTAGATCTTAAACAGGAAAAGAAATCTAATATCTTAAACAGGAAAAGAAATGCCATTAAAGAAGAGTGTATGTGAAAAATATTTGAGCGTTCGTTCTGCTTAAAGTCAAAGGGCTGCATTTTAATTTAGACTCATACTTTCAGGCATTTATAGCGGCATAAAAAGCAGCAAAACCATGAATGCAGATTCTCCTGACATCCTTCCATAAAATAATCTGCATGTTCTGGAACCCTTTATCACTTGAATTTGTTCCACATACAGTAAAAGCCCCAGTGGCTCTCCTGCAAGAAAAATAACCTTTGCAAATATCTTTGGATTCGTTTTAGCCTATTAAGATTGCTTAGGGTTATATGGCAGGAATCAACAATTTCCTATACAGCTGCACATAATGGGAAGCTTTCAGGCATATGTTTTAACCCTCCAGTAACACAAATGCAGGATTCTCTGCCCTTGCCAAACTTCACCCATCTATACAAGTTATCCAAAGGTACATTTTCTAGAAGGCAACTGGACTTTTTGTTTTTGTTTTCCTTTGAAATTGTTTCGTTTCTCATCCAAGAAGCTTCTTCAGTTCTAAATCAGTTTAATTAAAGTAATTAATTTAATACCACCAGAGGAGGCTTGGGGCTCCGATTGAGGTGTTTTTGCACTGTGGGTGCTAGATAGATTAATAACAGCCCCCCTCTTCTTATCCTTTCCCCTCCATCCCCATGTTTTAATTGGGGCTCAGTATTTGGATCTGTACAGTATTTTATTTATATCTTTCGGTTTTTGTATAGTTTTATCTTTTAATATTATAAGCCGTCGAGGATTACCGTTTGGTAAGATGGGTGGCCAATAAATTTTATAAATAAACAAATAACCTACCTGTTTGGCTCTGGGATCCAGTAATCAGAAAGAGGAGGAGAATTGCCCAGACAGAAAGTCTGAAGGGCAGCTGGTGACTTTGAGCCATGTCGAGAAGAATCCTTGTCCCTTCCGCGGCCGTACACTTTGGGTGATGATCATTCTGTTTACTGCAAATTCTTTCCCCTCTTTTCAATCCCAGAGGCCACTGCTGGAATAGTTTCTTCGCTCCAGTTCCAATGCTGGGAAGAGTTTGCAGTTGACTTCTGTTCCTAAAAGGTAGTTTCCATCACAGTGCAAATGCTCAGAGTTTTCTGCCAACACAAGTCCCATTTATTTTCCACTTGGAACACCAGGCTGTTCATTATTTTATTTCTGGCATTTCATTTTCAGTTTCTGATGTGGTTTTTTTTTTTTTAATGGAAAGGACACTTAGTAGTTTTTGGGGTTTTTTTTGCTTTTAAAGCAAAGTGCATTCTTTAGAAACTAACAGTTTGTATTAAATATTTAAAGCACACAAGAGTCATAACAAGCCCAATTTCAAAAACCAAAGATGCTTCTTCCTTCAAGGCAGGCAACAGCTTGCATTGCTGTGCTTAAACTGTCACTGTTAGCATTTGCTTTCCAGCAGTTTAACAGAAGACCAATCCTTACATACCATGGGAGGGTGGATCTGGCAAATCCCTCTGCTTTGCAGCATCCAGCACATATTTCACTGGAAAGACAAGTCGCTTCTCCTCTCCAAATCCACAGCAGTGTTCCTCAAGAAGGAAACTTGGTCACACAACCCACCCCTTCCCCACCATTTTCTAACATCAGCCGGACTACTGTCACACATGTAAGCAGCTGGATGTTCTTTGTGAGTAGATCCTATATAGAGATTCAGAAACCATCTGGGATAGCAGTTGGGTTTTTTTTTTTTTAAAAAAAAAAGAATTTAAGTATAACAGGATATTGAGACATTGAAGCCTTGTATTTCCACAGCTGGAGTGACTGAAAGGATGGAAGGTATATACTAAGACAGTGATGGTAAATCTATTACACACGTTAAAAGGTGACACGCCATGATGTTTTGGGTGATATGCCAGCGTTCACCTACACTCAACAGTATTCTCAAAAGCACGTCCAGTTCTTGTATGATTTTCAGAGGCTAAGGATGCCATGCAAGAATGCCCTTGCATGGTCTCTAGTCTCCAAACACCACGCAAAAGTGGTGCATCATCCTCATTCTAGCCATTGTCTATCTGTGTGATGACCCGGGGCATGGCACAAAGGCCACACAGTCAGATAATCAGTAGGAGTCCCTTTATTAGCTCCAACTTTGCCCCCCAATGTCCTGGTTACCTTCTGGTTGGAGAAAAACTCTCCAAGGAACAGTCTTTGGCTGCAGAGAATCAAGTCCATTTTGTTGACAAACATTGTCAACAAAAACTGTAACGATAAGTCCAATCAAGACAAGATGAGGTAATTAGTCCGGCAGGGCAAGAGAAGGAATTCCAGATGTGAAGAAATGGCAGTAATTCAACCCGGTTGGGAGGATGCCAGGAACGCAGATAACCAAAGTCAACACAAGATAAACTCATGTTTGTTCCCAGAAGATGCGGCACTCAGCTTACATCTCTTTTAAATTCTCTTCCCAGGTGTGGCTAATGAAGGGAATCAGGACCCTTTCTTCCCCCATAAGCCGCACAACCCACATTGCTCTCATCTCTGTTCCTCCCTGCATGCCCTAGGATGAAAAGGGGGTGGGCCTGGGTCTTCCTCTGAACTCCCTCTCCCTTATTCTACCTCTCCTCTGCTCTGCCCAGCTGGACCTTGCCCTTTCCCAGTTTCCTCCACCACCAACAGAGCCACACTCCCACTCCGTCAGCTGTTCGTCTTCCTCCACGGAATCAGATTCCGACAGGGGCATGACACACTGTAGGATGAAGGCCTCTTCCACGTTTCCAAGCAATACAGTCTTTTGCCAATTGGACCTGCAATATTTGCTGATGTTGTCAATCCATCTTGTTTTAGATCTCTTTTGTGGATGCTTTTTATCAAGTGGAAATGGAAATAGGCTGGTCACTTAGCAAGAAGAGCTGATGGCAGGTGACTAAGGCAGTTATAGAATGGATTCTACTTGATAAAAAGTGGGGCACAATTTTTATAATTTTAAATATTAAATTTATATGCTGTCCATTTCCCCCCGAGATTTGTGAAGAAATGCATGTCTAATGTGTGTTCCCCAGTCTGAGGTGTACCTGAGATACTGTGGATGAAATGTCTGCCATTATCTATTGTATAGATCAGTAGTCTTCAATCTTTAAGGCTTGGTGGCCCAGCAGAGGGGGGAAGAGGAGAACCGGGCCCTGTGACCAGCAGGCCAGCGTGCATGCAGCTCAACTTGCATGAGTGGTGAGCTGGCATGCATACGTGTGCAGCTCAACTTGCACAAGTTGAACTATGTGCTGTGCACAGACGCCGGCCTGTTGCTTGCACAAGATGCGCACACATACACGGCCCAGTTGCTAATGTGCCACAGTTCAGTAGTGGGCCATGGCCTGGAGGGTTGGGGACCCCTGGTATAGATTGTTCACATGGTAACCATTTTGGCTTATCATTTAATTCCACTTTATTCATCCCTAGTATTCTGAAAGAAGGGCCAAATGACTAAAAATGATATACTGCCATCTCTTTTATCTTTAGTGCTTTCATCACTGATGAGAATAGTAGGGATGAAAATCTGCTTCACCTATAAAATTGCAAACATATTGCAAAAAGTTCAAGTGGTTCTCCTTCCCCAACCACAATCACTCCAAATATATCAAATTATACCCACTGTTGCTCAAGACAATAGGAATTAAGGGAGCCACATAACTTTCTTCTACCACATCTAGAAGGCAAAACGATGGTGAAACCTGTTTCACATCATCTACAAAAGGGGAAAGAGATTGAGGAAGATTCATGCATCCCAGTCCCATACAAACAAAGCTGACAATATTTGTGATTTATTATTTCCACATCTAATCACCTTAAGTTGCTTCACTTTTTGCTCCGAACTTGGCATGACTTCTGTTGTTTCTAGAAATTCCATGCTGCTGCAGATTTCTAACATTTAGTGTACATTAAATATTAACGTAACTTAAAACATCTGCATTCCAGACACTGTTCTGGGCTCTAAATCCCAGTGGTAAGGAACACTTTTAATTATTTGAGGTCAAGTTAAATATTTTGCTTGCAGAACTTTTCAGCTTCCAGTTCATTCTCCACAACTTTATCATAACATCCTTCTTTCAGTGTAACTTTCTAAACTCATTATACTCAAAATACATGTATCCGAATGTTTTGAGTTGGATGTGTTCCAACTAAACAAAACTTGAAATACCCTCATGTGTTCCACATGGAAGAAAATTTGAAACATTTCAAGTGTGGAACAGATAGAATGAAGAAAGCAAACCAATCATTCATTTGTTTTTCAATCCAAATCTATATAGTAAAAAGGATAGTAATCAAGACCTTGCCATAGGCCATACAGAAAAAAAAAGTGAAGGTGACTATTATTTTTTAAATGAAATTTTTACGTTTACATAGGAGACAACAGAAGCAAAGCTTTAAGCACACGTTTCCCAGCCTGTTTGCATAAACATTCACAAAAACTCAGTGGAAGAACTGCACATGGCATTATTCACTTGAACAGAGTCCATGGACAGCAGCAAACAGAAAAAAAAAACTTATTTGGCTACTGGCCTCAAACTTTTTTCTCTTCCTAGTGTGGAATTATAAACACAATTTTGTACTTGACAATCTGGCACCAATACTCAACAAGCAGACAAAAAAGCAATATGGCCTTGACATTTTAGCATACAGATTCAAAACACATCAACAAGACCAGGTATATGTTGCATTTTATAAGTTACAAGCTAAATACTAGAAAAGATTCATTAGCAACATTCATGCCCAGCACAGTCCGTTGCACACATCAATCACAAGTTGTAATAGGTGGTTGATAGCCAAAATCAATCTTTAACAGTAGTTATCTTTGGAGTAGTCATCCAAAATTGCAGATATTAACTCCCTGCTTGCATCAGGCAAGTGATGATTGGAACCCAGCAAGCATCTGCCTTTGAGCATATACTTAAATAAGCAGTTATTTTTCCCATTCACTCTTCTCACCCTATTCTTTGCCAACAGCAGTCTAATGGAACTAGCTCCTCTTATTTTTCTGGCTTTGTTGAAAACTAAGAACCAAGCTTATTGCAATTTACAGAACAAACCACAGGATTAAAAGTTCTCCTCGAAACAGCTCCATTTTGTCTTCAAGCTGAGATCAGAAGCAGCATGTTTTGTTCCAAGTAGAAGGTAAATGCTGTCAAACCATGAAATTCTGTTCCCAATTTGAAGCATCTGAAGCAACCATTTCAAGCTTGGAATCCCTTGCACATTTTAAAAAGCATATATGAGCAGGCAGATGGCGAGCATCTCCCTCACAACTTCCCATATTCCTGAGTAATAAGACACTGAAACCCCAGGAAGGCTATTCTGATTAATGTTTCTAGTAATGGCGGCTGCATGATTACAACTATAATTCAGAATGACACACATTCCCCACAGTCCAATTCCCACCTTTCTAGCGATTGAAACTTTTGACAGCTTTTAATCAAAAGTGTGAAGACATAAATCAAAATGTGATGACAATGAATGGTTATAAAGCCTTGAAGATCTTCTCACCCATTCTTTGCCTGGAGGCTTTTTTTGCTATCCCAAAGAGCAGCTCAACTCCTTATATGCTCATTTTCTTTTAACTCCTTTCATTGTCTCTCCCCTCCTTTATTCCCCAACACACACACACACACACACACACACCACCTAGAATCCCTCAGACAACATGCTATTGCTAAGGCAGCCTATCAGTCATTGGCTCTGTGGAAGACCACAGAGCCAATGACTGACAGGCTGTCTTAGCAATAGCATTTAAGACTTATATACCGCTTCACAGTGCTTTACATCCCTCCCTAAACAGATTACAGTCTGTATATTGCTCCCAACAATCTGGATCCTCATTTTACTGACCTCAGAAGAATGGAAGTCTTGAGTCAACCTTGAACTAGTCAGAATTGAACTCCTGGAAGTTGGCAGAATTAGCCAGCAATATTCCATTTGAACCCCTGCGCCACCAGGCAA